GGTGTTGGAGTTGTGAGCATCTTTTTGCGCTATGACCAAATGTTCCACAGAGTTGGCACTTGCCTTGATATCCCTTTGTCATGCGATTTTATGGCTTGTAAGACTGGTATTGTTGACGGTTGTTGTTGTTCCAGGACTGATTGTTACGGTTTTGAGACTTGCCTTGGAAGGACTTTTGACGAGACGCAGCTACATTGGCGGAGGCAGGGGCTGCACTTGTCGCAGAGTAGGACGTGGCCAGGAGCTTTGCTTCCTTGTTGAGAAGCTTCTCATGAATCTCAACAACAGTGGGAGACTTGTCACGGCCTTCCATTTGGTCCACCACAGACTTGTATTCTTCAGGGAGGCCATCAAGTATGTACTCAATTTGAGCCTCATGTTCAACCGGTTTACCAAGAAGGCCTAATTGATCAAAACGATTTGTCAGACCTTGCATATAAACATCAATAGATTTGTCACCTTTCGTGTAGTGCTTTAACTGGATCCGCAGTTGTTGGATGTGGCCCCAGCTTGGATTCGCATATGTGTTGGATACTGTTTTCCAGAGATCAGCAGAGGATTTTGATTTTGATACAAGAGACTGAATGGATGGGGAAAGTGTACCAATAAGTCCACTGTATATAAGCTTATCTTGACGTCTCCACTTGGTGTAGTCTGGATTTGTGGTTGTTTGATTGTTGACAGTGATTTGTTGATCCGGCGGAACGGTGGATCCATCGAGATACCCAGCAAGGTCGTAGCCATCGAGGAGAGAGTGTACCTGAACACTCCACGTGATGTAGTTGACAGATGTGAGCTTGGTGATGTTCATCATGTTGACATTGAGAAGAGATTTGGTGGTGTCAACGATTTCTGCAGGGGTAGCCATGATAAGCATAGTAGAGATTTAGAGAGAGATAGTTGCAGAGAGCAGAGATCTAAGAGAAGAGAAAGGAAGAAGAAGATGATGAAGAGGGGTGGGCGGCGCAGAGAAAAAAAATATAAGGCTCTGATACCATGTAAACGATGTTTATTTCACATAATCTTCACAGACTTACAATGCTCTGTTTATATACAAGTACAGAGGATTCTAGGTTAAAGGTAATTATAGAATGTTTAGTAAATAAGGAAGGAGGATATTGAGGTAATGAATCTATATCCTTAACAGTTTATTCAACTTGATATATGAAATTTTTGTGATAGCTGGTTGCAAGGAAACGAAATATATAAGATAAGTTAATCGAACTGTAATAGAAGAAAGATACGAATCTTCGACAGATTTTGCTACAAACTTTAGGGGGTTCCGATTTGAAACTGCTTGGAAGTTATATAGACCAGTATGATTTATGATTATTAATTTTTTTTGTAAACGGTCTTGTAATATAAATGATGATGCATGTCTTACTCATGAATTTATGATTCAAGTGTGTAATGGAAATTCATGTATTTATTGTTGTTGGTGAATGAAGATATACAGAAGAAAAAAAAATTTAGTTGAGAAAAAAAACTTTGGTAGATACGTACATGTCAAAGAAAATATGACATACATGAATCTGACGTATACGTTATATGTGGTGTTTAGCTTGAAGTCTACTAAGTTTAATCCAAAAATTAGTTACTGGATACCGGTAATAATGTCGATGATGATTGAACATAAACACCTTTATGTCTACATTGACAATCAAATGAAGTTGGATATATTTTATTTTATTATTAGTTGGGATTCAAGGGTAAATATAATTGTGTCGTTTTGTACAGCTCATTGAGAAATGTGTGAGTAGTGTGTGCATGATACAAACCCAAGTTGATGAAACTAACCATTGGTTATAGGTGAAAAATAAAAACCATACCGGAGGCTCCAAATGTGGAAGAAAAACAATTAGGACGTAGACGAGAAAGAAGAAATAGATGCCAATAAAAATGTTGAAGAAAATGATAAAATGACGACAAAGAGGAGGACGAAGTAAACGTCGATGAACATGACGAGGACAACGATGGATCAAATAGATGGGAAGATCGGTTATGACTGTATTCGTGTAAGTCAAACATTCACCTTAACACAATTCCTCATGTACATAGTTAGTAGTGTTCATACATTCTTCCAAAAATCATGTCTTACCTCCCGGTTAGGACTCACAAGATTGCCACGTAGGCTAAAAGTCAACAGGGCATCGGTCAACAAAATGAATCCACGAACCAAAGAGAACATTCAGAGTGAAGAGCTCGGCAAGATTGCCAAAGTAAGGGAGAGCTCGAGAAGCACACAATGGGCCGAGAACTCGAGGGCCCAAGAAGAGTTCAAAGCAATTAAAAAAGAAACGTTACGTCATTAATTGGAGAATCAAAATGGACATATTTAATGGTATTCATTGCATTAATTAGCCGATTAGTGTAATTATTTGTATATGAATATGAGACCCCTAAGACATTGAGGGGTACCTAGAATTCTTGCTTACAAGCTAATACTATACCATTCATTTCTCTACATTTTTGCTCACATTTTCATATTATTTTCTATACATTGTGTGTCGTGTATTTTGATCTTGAGGTTTTAACCCACGAATAAATAAATTCTTGAGTGTGTGAATTCAACATCCACACATGCTCGAAATATTGGATAAAAAAAATTGAATTATTAAATTTAAATAAATTTTTTTAAAATTTTAACAAATATAGGTAAAACATTTTAATTTTTTTTTTACGTACACATATGCACATCATTTATTACTGTGTACGTACACATGAGTACATGATATTGTTAATTTCGAATTGTCTTCCACGACACGACTAAATTTAAAAAAAAAAATTAGAATTGTAAAAATTTCGAATTGGCTTCCTCAAAGCCCAAAATGCTTGCCAATAAGTTAAAAATTTAGGACCTTAGCTCAGTTGGTAGAAGCGGAAGACTGTAGTAGTTGCTGTAATCTTTAGGTCGCTGGTTCGATTCCGGCAGGTCGGATATTTTAACCTTTTTAATTTCCATTTTTTTACCAAAATAAAAAACAAAAAAAAAATTTAGGCTTTTAAATCGAATAAAATCGATATTATACCAATAAATCGGTCTGCGGCCGTTATCCGAGTATGTTAACCGATTTAGTTTTAATCGCGGAGGAACACTACTGCGGAACACTGATTTGGTCTGGTAAAAACTATGATGATAAGAAAAAAAAATGCATAATCACGAAATTGTTTTTTTTGTTTGATGAAATGTGAAATTAATTGATGTAAAGTAGAGTTATTTACAAGTAATGAAAAATGATAGCAAACGAGAAACAGAGTATGGAATAAAAAAACAGAGCACAAAGTTCCTATTGGTTTTGTCTAGAGCTAAACCATCTTTGGATCAAACCTCGGAGCTTCCTGTTCTCAAAATATCTCAGCGATACGATTCTCGATCGGATTACTCTCTCAATAGTGCGAGCTAGTTGAGAATGTGTACGATATATCTTGTTGTGCCTTTTCTCATTCCGTTAACGCCATATATAATATATGGTAGCTTGGAAACACAATCGGAGGAGAATGTAGTCATACCTCGCAAAAGGACGTGTGATTATCCTTTGAATTGTGTCAGTCCAATCTGGATCCGGGTCCGCATTTAACAAGTCGCCGACAACTTGAATCCACACCATGAACGAATAAGGGCACGCAAAAAATAGATGATCCCGAGTTTCATCGGGTTCTCCACATAAAAGACAAGATTGGCTTTCTCCCCATGCTCGCATCCTTGACCATGTGGTAAGCCTATCCCTGATCGCCAACCAAGTAATAAAAGCAAACCGAGGAACTGATTGTGAGAACCATATAATCTTACACCACTCCTTTGCATCCCCACGAGATCGCAGCTGGTCCCAAGTACTAGCAGCAGCATATGTTGGTCGAAAGTCACCCGAAGAATGTCTCCACAAAACCATATCCCTACCCGCTTCTCTGTTTGGGACTTTTAAGCTCCGAATGCCTTGAATTACTTCCAACAAATTTCTGTCCCGACAACGACGAAAGTTACAACCCGCGTCATTTACTACTTCGGATACCTTTGCAAATTTCGGAACACCAAGTTTGTAAAAGCCTACATGTCCGACTATAGCCGGCCTATTGGGAGCCACTTATCAAGCCAGAAATAAGTATTACTTCCATCGCCAATCTCACAACGTGTAAATTCAGCCGCTAATGGCCTTAGCTTAAGGATTTTGCGCCATTACCATGAGCCCAAGTTAGATTCCTTAACGTCCCATATTGTTCCTTGTCTTATTAAGTACCGAAGGACCCAAGCCACCCATAGTGATCCCGAATCTGAAATTATCTTCCAAATCAGACTTAGGCCAAATACCCGAGAAACCTCATGCATTCTCCGAATCCCTAGGCCTCCCTCGTCCTTAGGCATACACACATCCTCCCATGCTATCTTTGATTTACCTTGTATATTCGGTGAGCCACTCCAAAGGAAAGCTGAACACATACTTTCAATCTCCTTGAAACACTTCTTTGGGAGAGTAAAAACCGAGCACCAAAAATTTGTAATGATAGCTATGACGGATTTGATTAGTTGAGCACTGCCTGCATATGATAGGAATTTTGAGGTCCATGCCGCCAATCTGTTCCTTATCTTATCACAAAATTATTTCACCTGCCATTTCATTTTTTATGAGGCTCTATTATGGATAGGCATGGTACCTTTGAATTTTGAGATACCCTTTACTCTACCTGATTCTTACGGTTAGAATAAAAAGAGGTTTACTCTTATTCGACCCGCAAATGGCGGGTACCCCAAAAAACAGATATCCAGTAAAAATATTTGACTCGCTAGATACCTGATCATTTACCCTTACCTGCATATTTTTTGATAATTTATGTGTAAAAGAAAATTTCGTACCTGCTTAACAATTTTATATTCCAAAACATAAATATTTACTTACAAAAAAAAAGTTCATAAACATATGTAACATATAGTTCCAAACAATATAAAATTATAAACTTACACTAACTTTCATTTTAAAATATATTTTAAAAATTTAACAATATTATAACACTAATAAAGCGGGTATTTACGGATCGGATAGCTGAACGGGTAACGAGTCAGGTAACGAGACTAGTATTAAAAAAAATTCAATATTTGATACTCGATCTTTACTTACGGGTACTAGAATTACAATACTATTATTCGACCCTAAAGTTACAAATACCATTTATTCGAAACGGGTACGAGTCAGATAACTGATCCAATACAAATAACAAATATCAATGTCCAGCCCTAAGGCCTACGACCCAAAAAGAGAAAAATAAATAAACCATTAGGTTATGGAAGTCATTGAACCTTCTGAATATAATTAAAAAACGGTCTATTTGCCCACGAAAAGTATCGCATCACGCCAGATAGAACCCGTTCTTTGATCCCGGTCCAGATGTCCATAAAATGGAAGTTAAATACCTATTTCCCCATGAATCAAAAGTTTGATAGCTAAATGTCCCCGAAGTCGAGATCTAAAATCCCACAGAGCTGGGTTTAATCGGTCTACTGTATACCAAACTGATGATTTAACCAACTAAACCTAATTATAACCAGACTTAACCTTAATTTCAACTCGTTTACAACCCATTGCATTCTAATAACCAAAAAAAAAAACCCAAATCGAAACCCTAAAATCTATTATCTCTAAATCGACGAACCCTAGAGAGAATCAGAGAAATCGCTTCAAAACAGTTGCTCAAGATCGAAGCTTCAATGTCGTTAGTCCTTCATGACCATGCTGTTGTTGGTGATGTCGATTTTGAAGCTAAAGACAAAGATCAATTTCAAATGGAAGAAATATTAAAGGAGTGGACCGACGAACCACCAATCTGCCACGATGTGTACCCGGAGAGTGATACTGAAGAAAACGATGACGATCCTGGAAAATTTCATACACATATCAGGCACAAAGATGGGCATTTGTACCCGAAGCAGAGTTTCTTCAGTGGAGTTGCATTCAAAGAGGCGGTTGTTGATTACGCTCTAAGAAATGGATGTAATCTGAAGCAGTGCATGTATGATAAGGATAAAATTGGCTTCAAATGTGTTGGTTGTGATGGTAAGGATGATGGAGCTCGGTGTGATTGGCAAGTATATGGCGCGATTATCCCGAATGATCGAAAGTGGAAGATTAGGAAGTTCATTGGCAAACATAGCTGTATCTCAAATGGAGAATGTGAGATGTTTAAGGTACCGCATATAGCTTTGTTGTTTGTTGATAAGATCAGGGATAATCCTAAATTATACTTGCCTGCGAGGCTTGAAGAAATCATAGTGGAACAATGGAAGATCAGTGTCACTAGGAATCAATGTCAGGCTGCGAGGAAGAAGACATTGCAATGGATTGAGAAGGAGTACGATGATGAGTTTGCAAAATTACTAAGGGACTATGCAGCTGAGATACTTGATGCAAACAAGGATTCACACGTTGAGGTTATATGCTTGTTTTGACAACCTTAGAAGGACATGGAAGGAGTCTTGTAGGCCTCTAATAGGCATTGATGGTTGTTTTCTAAAGAATAAGGTTAAGGGACAGTTACTGGTAGCATTAGGTAGGGATGCAAACAATGGTATCTATCCTATAGCTTGGGGGTGGTTAAAGTAGAGAACATAGACAATTGAGTTTGGTTTGTGAAGCTGCTGAAAGAAGACTTTGGATTAAGCGATGGTGAAGGCTTCATCATGATCTCATATAGGGAAAAGGTAGCTTATCTTGTCTTTTGCTGTTTTGTTTTGTCTTTTCATTTTGTGGCATGATTTCTTATGTTTTTTCTATTGTTTCATGGTTAATCAAAGTTGTTCAGCTTGAGTTATCCAATATAGAGCATTAGACAAAGTATCTTCCACCTTCTCAAATAATTCTTTCTCTTATCTTCATTTGGACCTTTTCAGATCCCACCTTCTCAAACTCTAACCTCTGTGTTCTATGCTCTTTCAGCTCCTGCTCAAGTTCACCATTTTTGCTGTCAATGTTTCTATCTCATTGAGAAAGGCTTCATCTTCCCATCTGAAAGTGTGATCATCGTTCCTTAGCTACAAATGAACATTGATCTTTCAAGATTAGAAGAATCTAAAACATGAAAACATAGGAAATAGAGGATTGACATTACCCTATCTTTTGCAGCAAAACCGCGGCGAAACTATCTCTTGTAAGGATTCGGATTGGATTTGGAAATGAGTGCCACGATTCCTTCCCCGCACCAACATCTCTTTGGCACTCCGACCACTCTTCCTCTTCTACGAGGACATGTAGATCCCGTCGAACTCAATGATAGATTGCTCATCCTGAAACTCGAAATCGAGTTTTCAAATCGAATTTTGGAAATTAAGACTTCGATTTTAGGGTTTTTGAGTTTTGAATTTGCGGATTTGGGGATTTTGAATTTTGGAATTTAAACGACAACGGGTCGGATTGTAATAAAGAATCAGTTTTTTTTTTAGTTACGACCCGTAAGTTGTTTCGTCTCGGGTTTATGCACCAACTCGACGTAACTACGATTCAGGGACATTTAGCTATCGAACTTTTGATTCGTGGAAAAATAAATATTTCACTTTTATTTCATAGACATCTGAACCGGGATCAAAGAACGAACTCTATCTAGTATAATTCGATACTTCTTGTGATAAAATAAACCCTTTCTCGAATATAATAGAAGTTTGTCTACTTGCGAACAACAATTTAACAAGTGAGAGAGACAACATACAGAAGAAGGCATATACTATGGTTACAAATATTTTATTCCTAATCTTTGCGTCTGAAATTGCATATTCTCAACAAATATATAAATGTAAGAACAAACAAAAAAACACAAAAACAAAAACTGAGAAAGCGCAAAAAAAAAAAAAACAAAAAAAAACACAAAACCTTTAGATTTGTTCGTGAAATTCTGCAATTTCCTTCAACTGGGTTTTCTTGTAAAAGCATTACAGTAATGGCGGCTCCTCGGAATTTAACAGGTGACGGCGGAGGAAGACAGCTTGACGGCGGAGGAAGACAGCTTGTAAAAGACGAAGAAAGCGCCGCCGCGTCGTCGGCAGCTAAAGGACTCTTAAACGATGATTCATCGACGGGTAAACGAACCAAATCGGAGAGATTTCCTCTTTCACGGTGGGAATTCGCCGTTTTTTTCACCGTCTTCCTTGTTTTCACCACCGGACTTTTGTGTATTTACCTCACCATGCCTGCCGCTGAATACGGCAAGCTTAAAGTTCCTAGAACTATCTCCGATCTTCGATTGCTTAAGTGAGAATAAAAACTTCTTCTTTTTGAATTGAAAGTGTTTAGCTTTGAGTAGTGGTCTCTTGAATCTGAATCCTAATTCAAAAACCCAATTTGAAAGCTTGGATCTTTTGGAAAATTGGTTTAGAGAGCAGTAAATTAGCTTAAAGACATGATTTTTAAAGCAGCATTCTCAGTTTTATGTATATGATTAGCTTGTTCTTTTGTTTTATAGATTGGAAATTGAATTTGAGTTAGTGTAGAAACTGAAAGTGTTTAGCTTTTAGTAGTGTCTCTTGAATTTGGATTCTAATTCAAAAACCCAAATTGAAAGTTTGAATCTTTTGAAGATTCCGTCCGATAAAATGGTGTATAGAGCAGCAAATTAGCTTAACTCTCAGTTTTTTGTATGTGATTAGCTTGTACTTTTGTTCTACAGATTGAAAATTAAGTTTATGCTAATGTAGAAACTGAAAGAGTTAAGCTTTTAGTAGTGTCACTTGAATTTGGAGCCTAATTTTAAACCCCCAAATTGAAAGTTTGGATCTTTCCATGATTCTGAAAATTTGGTTTAGAGAGCAGCACATGCATTAGCTTCAAAGACTTGATTTGAAAGTTGCTTTTTCAATTGAATGTGACTTGCTTGGACTGACTATATGATGAATTGATACATTGGTATGAACATATGCAGAGAGAATCTTGGGTCTTATGCAAGTGAGTACCAAGCACGGTTCATTTTAGGTTACTGCTCGACGTATATCTTTATGCAGACCTTTATGATACCTGGAACAATCTTTATGTCATTGCTTGCTGGAGCTCTTTTTGGTGTGGTTAGAGGTTTTGTCCTTGTTGTCCTCAATGCAACAGCTGGAGCATGTTCTTGTTTCTTCTTATCGAAATTGGTCGGAAGGCCTTTGGTTAACTGGCTATGGCCTGAAAAGTTGAGGTTTTTCCAGGCAGAGGTAAGCCCTCTTGTTTTTGATTAGCATTTAGTAATGTCACTTGTTCTGAAGGATTAATGTCTTGAAATCTTCAATGCGTCAGATTGCGAAAAGAAGAGATAGGCTGCTAAACTACATGCTGTTCTTAAGGATAACACCAACGCTTCCAAACCTCTTTATCAATTTGTCTTCTCCAATCGTTGACATACCCTTTCACGTCTTCTTTTTGGCGACTCTAGTCGGCCTTATGCCAGCTTCGTACATCACCGTTAGAGTGAGTCTATTGTTTGATCTCCTTCTGCAGTTCTTTCATGTTTAAGAGGCTAATGTCATAACATTTAACTTCATTTACACAGGCTGGTTTGGCTCTTGGAGATCTCAGATCAGTAAAGGATCTTTATGATTTTAAGACTTTGTCCGTGTTATTCCTCATTGGATCCATCTCCATATTCCCTGCCCTCCTAAAGAGAAAGAGAGTATATGAATGAAGACGTATAATCATTTATATAGATATTGATGAGCAGCACCTTTCAGTCGCATGGCGGGATTTTAAAGGTGTTTATGAGCTCAAGATAAAGAAGAAGATTGTTTCTGAAACATCACGGAGCTTAAAACCGCTAACTCTGGCTTTGATTGGTTTATTGTCGTCAATTCGAGAGCTTCTCTCATTCCCTTGTAGTAAGTGTTTGTCTAGCTAGTTTACTGAATCTTGATACACGATTGGCTTTGTATATTGAATCTTGATTCCGAGATCTGACTCTGCAGCCTATTGGCTTATGTAACAAAACATGATTATGTAAATGCTTGAAGACATTTCTTTGACCAAAAGATGAGTGATTCTGATCATATAGTTGTTCTATAGGCAGAAAATATGAAGCAAAAATTATCCATGCTATAACAAAATTGAGAAAGTTGCTCATCTACAAAAAGTGAAAACGAAAACAAAAAGAGATAAAAGAAAGATTCAGTTTTTCTTTTGTGGGTTCTCATTTCTCAATTCCAAATATATATAGATGATTATAATTAGTTTGGTGAGTCATCAGATTTAGTAGAAGTGTTGGTGTCCTCAACACCAAAAGCCTCAGCTATATTGAAGTTCAAGTTGTTCCTCATAGTTCTGCTCCTACCAACACCATCTCCTTTCTTCATCATCGCAGTAAACTCTGAGAAATCAATCCTCCCATCCTAACAAAACCGCACATTTTCATCATCAGTTTTAACCCCAAACTCACTAAGAAACAAGACAAATGCTAATAGATAACGAAGGCTTCTTACATTGTCAAGATCAATCTCTTTGATCATGTCGTCGAGAGGAGTGTCACAGAGACCAAACTCTGTGCAGGCTTGTTGAAGCTCGTCAATGGTTATATAACCGCTACCGTCTTTATCAAAGTAGGAAAACGCAACCACCAAATTCTCCTCTCTCTCCATCTTGTTCATATGTAATGTCGCTGCTAGGAATTCACCGTAGTCTATTGTCCCGCTGTTGTCTATATCCGCCTGCAAAACACCATTTTAACCTTTGTGATTCCTAGGATCAGGCATAACATCTTTCGACGGAGAAATCGATAAGAGAGTTTTTGTTTTGGTATAAATACCGCATCCATAAGAGACTTAATTTCTGATTCCATCAGTTCAGATCCAACTCTCTTCAGACCTGCTTTAAGCTCCTCAAAGGTGATTGATCCACTGTTGTCTGTATCTATCATTTTGAACAATTCCTTCAGACCACCAATTTCTTCCTCCGAGAGTCTCTCAGCGATTACCTAACAAAGGAGATCAGTTCTTGATAATAAGCAACAAGATTGGAGATGAACAAACCACAACTTTCTTACTCGTAAGGCCATTTTCTTGATTTTATTCATTTGCGAGAACTGTTTTAGACGCGACAAGACTGCTGGATCGAGAGGCTTGTCTGGTGCAGCTTGTTCATCAATAATCCAAGGGTGGCCTAATAATCATCAGAGGACAACTCAATTCTTACATCTTATAAGAATTAACAATGAAAGATACATACAGAGGATAACAAAACAATCATTACGAAAAACTTACACAATGCTTCATGTGCAGAAATACGTTTCTTGGGGCTCCTATCGAGCATTTTGTAAATCAAATCTTTAGCACCTTCTGAGATACTAGGCCACGGATCAGATTTAAAATCTATCTTCCCTTGCAATATCTGTCTAAAGATTCCTGACTCGGTTTCTACAAGCAAATTAGACAGGAATACATAAATCACATAAGCAATATACTTGACTAGTAGTAACAAAGGTACTGGCTCTCACAAACATACCTGCCCAAAAAGGAGGAACTCCACTTAGTAAGATATAAAGGATAACACCAGCGCTCCATACGTCTATCTCTGGTCCATAACATTTTTTCAGAACCTCAGGTGCAACATAATACGGACTTCCAACTACATCATACAGATACTGCCCTGAAGAAGCAAACCAACACAATTGACAATTTTGTTAAGCAGTGGAAAAATAGTCGGACACAATCTATCTCTGATAACATCACTACATTAGCATATGTAACATACAACAAAACCATGGAACTCTTGCTAGAAGAAATTCATAAATCTCAGCAAAAACGTCACAGAAAAATCTCTCTAAAGAAAATCAAAGGTTCCCTAACAACAAATTCGAATTAACCATTCAACAATGATACTGCCGATAACATATGAAGAAATCGATTTTCAACACCAAACAAGACATTTCTTGACAGACTCTAAAGGATGGATCGAAGAACCAATGCGTGGTTGCTTCATGAGACAAACCGACTCTGATAACATCGCACATATATAACAAAATCTTGCACAATCAACACATCCATATCTCAACTAAATCTCAAAACTTGATTTAAAAAAAAATCAATCAATCTTTCCCTAACAATGCTCAAGCAGCAAATCTGAATCGACCATTCAAACGAACAAAGTCGAACCATTTCTTGAATCAAGAAACCAAATCAAGACATTTCTTGAAAGTGTACCAAGAGCAAAATCAATCAAAGCAACCAAGAAAGACAAAAACAAATAGATTCGAATCAAATTCAACGAACCTGGCTTATAGAAGACAGACAAACCAAAATCCGTAGCCTGAAGCTTAGCATCATCACTGGCACTATCAAACAAGAAATTCTCAGGCTTAAGATCTCTATGCATAACACCAAGAGAATGACAAGCCTCAACAACACCAAGAATAGTCTTAATCAACTTAACAGCTTCACGTTCACTAAAATGCCCTTTAGAAACAATCCGATCAAAAAGCTCACCACCTTCACAAACTTCCATAACAATGTGAACAAAAACAGAGTCTTCATAAGTACCCTTGATTCTAACCACATTTGGATGCTCAGAGAGATGATGCATGATCTGTATCTCACGCCATACATCTTCATAGTCTTCACGACATACAAGCTTGCGTTTTGGGATTGATTTGCAAGCGTAGTTAGAAGATGATGATTTCTCTGTACAGAGATATGTTGTTCCAAATTGGCCTTGGCCTAGCTTTTTGCCGAGGAGGTAGTGATCTCTTAATCTTGGTGTTTCGTATGGAAGAACACTGTTTGAGGGTCTTCTAGGGTTTGGTTTCTCCATGGTTGTTGATTTCGAAAGTCTCTTCCTTTTTTTCTTTGGTGTTTATGAAGGAGGAAGATGATGCGAAGTTACGAACCCTTTGTTTATGTTGACTAGTCTTATGCAATTATTATATTATTATTGCTCTTTTATTATCCCGTGACCATTTACATTTATAATTTTATTTTATATTTACCAACTATTATTGCAATAAATTGAATTGATGAGGAAAAAATCTATTGAAAGAGAGGGACTAGGCATGGGACTTTTCACCAGAATCGTTTGGTTATTTCGGTTCGGATTCGGTTATTAGATGTAAATTAATTGGTAGGATTTTTAAATGTTTTGTTACCGGTTTTTTTTTTTTCTTTATTTTTGGCTTAATTTTTCTAACCAAAGTAAGTCGGACTAGATTAAAATTACGAATACGTTCTAAATTTTTTTAGAAAATTGATAACTGAAGCGAACTAAATAATATGGAAGCATTTTTAGTTTATTGGTCAAGGTTTAAAAGCTTCTACACCAGGTTCGAATCTTAAATAATGTAATTTTTTGCAGATTATTGATTTAAAATTTATCAGTTCATCATAATAAAGTTAAATAAATTATTTCTAATGATAATGAAACAGATGCCAGAAAGAAAATAAAAACGAACCAAATTTTTATAAATTCGAACCAGTAAATGGAAAATATATAAACAATTCACCGACATGCATGCACATTGCACACCGAATGGACAAGAACCAATTTCTTCATATCAATCATGGTTTGTTGAGTTCACACGGTTTTGGCAAGCTTTGCAATGCACGACCACGAATTGTAAACCTCATCGTCGTGAAGACCACTCTTTCGCTTTGGGGCAATATTATAAAATAGACGTGTATAGGTAATTGTGTGAATGTCGTATAATTCAAAACACATAATTATTTTTCTATAATTTTAAAACAAAGTCCGATCAGCAATAAAATAAAATTTAAACCCGTAACTATCTAAATACTAACCAAGTGTTCTTGGTCTAGTGGTTGCCACTTGTGGAGGTGCGTAAATGGATCTTGTAGCTATGTGATAGTGGGAAGTATATAACAAACTTTAGTTTTACATGTTTTGTTTGTTAAAATTTGTTGATTAAAACTCAGGGATAAATGGCAGATGGGTGGATTATGTTGTTGATACTTGCATAATTTTGCATGGATGATATATTCATAAATAGTGGTTGTTAAACTTGTAACGAATCTTTTCAAACATATTGGAGAAAATGTTTAAGCCTAGAAAAATAGTTAGCTTTAGTGCTGCTTTGTCTCTCGTTTTACACTTCTTTTCTTGGAAATCTTGCTCTTCACCTAATAAAATTAGAATTTTGGAAACTGTGATTAGTTTGCATGTTCGAATATTTGTGTTGACTAAACCATATTGTTGATTTGGATAACTAATGGTTGGGTGTTTACCTGCATAAGTGTATGGAAATCAGATTTCCAATCTGGCTGTCTCTTAGTTTTCTCTACCTTTATATTAACCTGCATAAGAGTATGAAAATAGTTTTCAGTTTTTTTCTTCCTAGGCAGTAAGCAGTTCTCACTAATTTGTGCTCTTATCAATATATGTAAAAAGTAGATGTTTTTTTTGGTGTTATAAAGCATATATTAGATTGACGGATGGTGTAAATCTTTTACCTGTAATTGACGGTAGACCATTAAATACTTCTCTGTAGACTATGTTAGTCACATACTTTCCTTCGGTTTTTTTTTGTGTCTAGGACTGTGAGACCTTTAGGCGATGTGACACGTGACAAAGCAACGTATAGTTGGCCGTGGCTGAAGACTGGCTTTGGCAGATACAATGCCACTCTATTCAAGGTTTGTCCTTGGCTTTTATTAACCGTCATAGCATAGCACATTCGTACCGGAAACTGACGCCTCCTTAGAGTGAATGGATGCTTAGAATCTTGTGGTGATAGTATAATCCTGGGTATTAACACTTTTTTCTTTTCTTTTGTATCTGAAAGTACCTCAGCTTCAATTACTCAAAAAGCATGGATTACTGAGCACTGAAAGAAAGAAATTTAAGGGTTAGATGGCCTTCAATTATATATGAGACAAAAATACATCTAAGTAGATTTACTTTTTCATCGAGTAAAAGGAGGACTATCCCCATGAATTGACCATCTTTCTTGATGTTGCGAGCATCCCAAAAACGAAGTAGCCGACCAACAACCTGTTGAGTAGAGCGACCAAGTCGTAAATCATCAAAAGCAACATAGTTTGCATTGGTAGGAATTGGAACAACATCAATTGCAGCCATTTTCAGAGTGTATCGAAGTTTTTGTGATGGAAAGTGGAATTTTTGTTTGGGGATGGTGGGTGATGATGAATTTATAGTAGTTTAGAGGGAGATCTATAGGCAACTTATGATTTACTCCAATTACAGTTTCGTTTGGAAAATTAAACTCATGAATTAAGTAGAAAGTAGTGGAATTGGAACGAATTAAGACATGTATTGAAGTACCTTAGTTGTGATTAGGTGTTGATGTTTGAGCTTCTCGTCGGTGAAGTTTATCGACAACGGCAGCGTCGAAGAAAACAGTTGTCTCGAGAAGATGAGTTAGAGAGTAGAGAGAAATACATGAAGAAACGGATCTTAGGCCCAATAATCATATATAAGAATCTTTAGTAGGTCCATTATAAAGAAAATGAGCGAATTCATTTAAAACTATAAAAATGCTTTAGTAGGCCCATTATGAAGAAAAGGAACGTATTCATTTGCAATCGTTGACAAAAAATGCTTAATATAATACTGTGGGGTCCACCAAAAATAGTGTAGTGACGTGGATGTTCTTAGAGGAGAGAAAACTGCGCCATTATATATATAGATTATCAAATGTTTAATCTTGGATTTGGGTTAACTTAACACTATTGTGGATGCTTGTATATAGACTAATGTATAACCCAATAATAAGAACATTAGTGTTCTCAAATTGTGTATCTTCTGAGCATCTCCAATGTCCATCTCTATATTTTCATCTATTTTAGAGAAGATTTTTGTGTTTGAGAGATTCGTCAATTGGAATTGAAACATTTAGAAGCAATCCACACATCTATTTTAGGTGTGGATATGAACCGCATCCTCATGGAGGAGGTAACCATCAGCATTGATCACCCCAGTACAGTTAGGCGTGATGCACCTCGAAGTAAACTTGTGTATCATGTTCCACGCTTGCCATCTCCTATCAGAAAAGCACTACAATTGAAGAAGATCTGATTGACTCATAGAAACTACAACCTCTATAAAGCGAGAAAAGTGGAACATGTCATTAAAAAACTTGCCTTCCAGTGCTAGGAACATGAGTGTTCAAATCTTTAAAATCTTCCGGTCCAGCTCTTGACAAGTTCTGAGCCAGATTCGGTTCATCATAGCTGTAAATCTACAAAATGAGAGGATTTTACGACCTTAATTGAGAAAGTCGCGCCTATTATCTTTCGTCCTGCTGCAGCAAATTCCTCTAGCTAATCCAAGAAGAATATGTTGCATCTCGAGTTGGTCTACGACTGGATATATACCTCGAGTACCTTATGTCATTATGCAAACCTGTACGGAGAGCTTTTAACAATGTTTTTCATATTTGTGTATGATGCTATGAAAGAATGAAGAAGAAAGAAATCAGAAGTTGCTCATATTCTAGAAGCAAAATTGGTCTTGTTAAGTCAGAATATGATAACTTGCAGAAGAATCTATATATCCAAAAGGGTTGGCCATATTATTGAAACTGCCTACCGAAATAAAGATATCATTAAAACTGTTTCGTACATAGCAAGTAGTCTTTATGTTTCGTCAAATCTGATATTGTAGAAGTGAGGATGTTAAGTTACGCATGCATAAAAAAAGCCACAACCACCGGTTAACTCAATGGGTTTGTTCATCTACAGATCCCTTAACCAAGATTTCATATTTGCTCATATCATAGAAGCACATTCGGGTTCTGTTATGCCTGATTGCGATTGTTTTTACAAGAACATAAATCCAAAAGCAAACGGAAAGAACTTCACAAAAACCTTAAAATATAGCTAACCAAAGATGCATATGTTCTTCTTCATATATATATATATATATTTTTGACATTTTTGAATCGACAAAGCTGGATCCATAGCCAATTCCTACTACGCGGGGGTAACGCGACATAGTGGAATCGAAGTCCGGTGGGAAGGAGGAATCAGATGGACTTAACCACTTGACTAATAACACATCCCTTGAATGATATACTTTTTATAGCTTAAGAATTCTATTCAATGCTAATTCCGTAAGTTTTTATTAAACCAAATTGAAAACATAAGTCTGGTTATGGAAATATTTATTTAGTGAACCAGGTAGACGAGGTAGAAGACGAGGTAGAAGACGAGGTAGAAGACGAGGTAGAAGAGGAGGTAAAAAAAAATTTGATTCTTTTAGCGGAAGTTTTAGATCGTAAGATCGAGCAAAAACCCTTTTGTATTTAGGTTTTTGGCTCTGATACCATGTCAAGAAACTCTTGATAGTATGATCTGAATTTCTTAAGTGTCAAGCAATACAGAGTATAGCCTTATATATTGGCAGAGAACACAATTATGGTGTTCGACCTAATAGCTTGTAAACCGACAATAAACACGTAAAGGGCTAAGCCCATATAGCATATAGCCCAATACCCCCCTTCAAGGTGGAGTGTGGAGGTTACAAACACCCAACTTGTCAAGAAAGTCTTCGAATTGTTGACGTCCCAATGACTTTGTCATGATGTCCGCTAGTTGACTCTTTGTGTTGACGTGTTTAGTAGCTATGACACCACGAATAATTTCATCTCTTACGAAATGAACATCACGACGGACATGTTTCGTTCGAGCATGGAACACCGGATTAGCGGCAAGCATAATCGCGGACAAACTGTCAGAGTGTAGTGTAATAGGGGCAGTAACCTCAATGCCAAGCGTTGGCAATAACTCACGAAGCCATAATAGTTCACTCACGGTATCGGCCATTGCGCGATATTCAGCTTCAGCCGAAGAGCGAGACACAACATCATGCTTTCGTGTTTTCCAAGACAATGGTGAGTCACCAAGTTGTATGAACCATCCAGTAAGAGAACGACTTGTGAGAGGACAAGCACCATGATCCGAATCACACCATGCAGTCAAGGTCAAAGGCGTGTTAGCTCGTAATAGAATACCTTGGCCAGGACTATTTTTTAAATAGCGGACTACACGAAGAGCAGCATTCCAATGAGCGTGTTGTGGCTCGTTCATAAATTGAGACAAAGTGTGAATCGCATAGGAGAGTTCTGGTCGTGTGTTTCCTAAGTATATAAGGCGACCCACAAGACGTCTATATCGAGTAGGATCAGGAAAAGCACCATCCTTAGCAAGAGACAACTTGTGATTTTGTTCTAATGGAAACGTAATTGGCTTTACTCCCATAAGACCCGCTTCGGCAATGATCTCAAGAGCATATTTGCGTTGGCACAAGTAAATCCCAGCTGGACTACGAGCCACCTCAATGCCTAAGAAATAACGCAAAATTCCCAGATTTTTCATGTGAAAACAAGTACTTAAATAGTGCTTGAATTCGTTGACAATGTGAATTGAGCTGCCCGTGATGATCAAATCATCGACGTAAACCAGAACATGTAGTCTCGTATCACCTTTCGCTAGAATAAATAAAGAATAATCAGAGACATCTTGCTCAAAGCCGTACGTTTTCATAGCAGAACCAAGTTTCGCGAACCAGCATCTAGGAGCCTGTTTCAAGCCATAGAGAGACTTGCGTAGGCGGCAAACTTTAGTGTCATCATCCGTGCGAAAACCAGGAGGAAACTTCATGTAGACCTCCTCATTGAGATCACCGTGAAGAAACGCATTGTAAACGTCCATTTGGTGAACTTCCCAATCTAAAGACGCGGCTTGTTAAAGAAATGCGCGAACTGTGATCATCTTAGCTACCGGCGCAAAAGTTTCAGAATAATCAATGCCTTCTTTTTGATTGTTGCCAAGAACCACAAGTCGAGCTTTGTGGCGTTCAAGAGTGCCATCCGCATTGAATTTTAGGCGGAAGACCCATTTGCAACCAATGGGTTTCTTACCTTTTGGAAGGTCTTCAACAGTCCAAGTACCGTTCTCTTCCAAAGCTTCGATTTCGTCTTTGACTGCATACCGCCAGTTTTCATCAACAATAGCCTCTTGATAGTTTCTTGGTTCATTCCTTGAGGTGATAGCGAACAAATAACCTCGATATGTGTCGGAGAATTGTGAGCTAGAAACAAAATTGTCAATCGGGTAAGGTGTTGCAGATGGTGACGGAGTGTAAATGAGAGAAGTGACGTAATCGGCGAGCTTCACAGGTGGTTGTTTCTTCCTAAAACCGAAACCAAGTTGCTCTGTTTTAGGACCAGAATCTGCAGCATGATCAGTCGGAGATTTGTCTATGAGTACGTCAACTGTTTCATTTGATGCTGCAAGTGTTGGTGTGTTGACTGCAGAGGAGGGAAACGACGAGGTAGAGACATGATCTAGGTTCGTAGATGTGTTGTCTGAATTCTGAACTGCAGTTTCTGAATTTTCTGAAATCTGAACTGCATTTTCTGAATTTTCTGAAATCTGAACTGCATTTTCTGAAATTTCTGAAATCTGAAATGCATTTTCTGCATTTTCTGAAATCTGAACTGCATTTTCTGAAATCTGAGCTGCAGGTGACGAGTGAGGCTGGTCTACATCAAAATCGTCGATGTCTTGAAGCTGAGCCGTAGCTTTATCCACATTGAATTTTGGTGAAGGAGACGGCTTATTATGGAGTTCAATTGCATAAGGAAAAACTGATTCCCGAAAGATGACATCGCGAGAAACAGTGACAGCACCAGTCTCAAGATTATATACACGCCAACCCTTTTTGCCGAATGGATACCCAAGAAACACTGCCTTAGTACTTCGAGTTGCGAATTTATCACCTTCGTGTTTCTGGTTATGGACGTAGCATAGACAACCAAAGACGCGAATGTGATTCATTGGTGGAGAACGTTTGTAGATGAGCTCAAAAGGACTCTTACCATCGAGAATTGGAGTAGGAGTCCTATTTATGAGATAGGTTGCTGTTAAGGCACAATGACCCCAAAACTCAATAGGAAGATTTGCTTGAAAAAGAAGAGCTCTAGCAACGTTTAAGATATGGCGGTGTTTGCGTTCAACGCGTCCATTTTGTTGTGGAGTCCCAACACAAGAAGTTTCGTGTATAATCCTATGTTGAGCAAAATAGTCCTTTAAGCAAATAAATTCGGAGCCATTATCACTACGGATTGTCTTTACTTTAGTGGAGAATTGACGTTCAACAAGAGCAATAAAATTCTTGAGCTGCGTAGGTGCTTCTTGTTTGGAAGGTAGTAAATAAATCCAAACCGCTCTTGAATAGTCATCAAGAATTGTAAGAAAATAGCGAGAGCCGCAAAGGGATGGAGTGCGGTAAGGACCCCAAAGATCGCAGTGAATAAGTTCAAAAGCAACACTCGTCTTATTATAACTTAAAGGAAAAGACTCTCTTGTCTGTTTAGCGCGGATACAAACGTCACACGCCGTAGAATCAAATTTAGAATGAAAATTCAAAAACTTAATCATATCCAAAGCCTTAGAGGAAGGATGTCCTAAGCGAGAGTGCCATAATTCCATAGATGATGAATCCAGTGAGTTTACGGTTGCAGCTACTTCCACTCCTCTTAGAAAATAAAGACCATTCTCTTGCTCACCTGCGCCAATCAGGATCTTGGTGATGCGATCCTGAATAATACAAAGCCTGTCAGTTATCTGAAACACACAACCGCGCTCTC